ACATCTCCAAACCTGCAGCTCTTGTGGGGGGTTCCCGGTCTGCAGAGGTCAGTACCTATCAAAAGTGGTCCAAGGAAGGAACAAAACCCGGAGACTGGGTCATGGGGGGCCGAGGCTCATCGATGCAGGTGGGGAGTAAAGGCTGGCCCGTGTGGTCCGATCCAACAGACGAGCTACTGTACTGTCAAACTGCTGAAACAGTTAATGCTATATACACACACTGCAGGTATATAGACATTGTATGTGCTACATTTCATACAATTCTACCGACAATACCTCTACAATAAGTTAGTTAGTTAGTTTCAGAGGACAGTGCTGTATACAGGTCAGAGATCAGTGCTATTTGATAAGGATGTTATTGTTATATAGGTCATTGCTGTAGATACAGGGCAGAGGTCTGTACTGTATATTTGATTATTAGAATTAATACGCATAAATAAATTCAGCTATGTGTGACATCATCCTGTGTGTTTACAGAGACATTACCATCCAGTCGTGCGGCGGTTAGCGGTCCACCTGTGTCAGGGAGCTCCCAGTGAGGGATCGGCGGCGCTCGGTGTCGATCTGAGTCGCAGGTACGAACACTTAAAGGAGCAATCGACTGATTTTAACTTAATCTAACAAACCCTGAAGAGAGTGTGTGTGTGTGTGTCTGTGTGTCTGTGAGTCTGTGAGTGTGTGAGTGTGTGAGAGTGTGTACTGAAAAATATATAGAGAAAAATAATTAAGTTAAGTAAATCTTCTTCCTGTCCAGGTCGCCGGTGGAGCTGTTTAATATCTACAGTGTCAAAGACATGACCTTTAACCCCCCTGTAGCACCGCCTGGCACCAAGAAGAAGGTACAGAAATCGAACGCACCTACAGTCCTTTAATGTTTCGTCCTCAATCAATATAAGTCATTGATTATTGATTGATCTAACGTTTACATCCACAGATTTGTCAATAAAGTTTATTCTGTTTTTGTGCGCTAGGATCGGTTTGTGGTCGGAGCAACGCTGTTGGACACGGAGCTGCAGAGACGAGCCGAAAGCGTCCTCGCCGCCACCGAGCAGACGGAGCTGGACTTTAATATAAAGCACGCACACACACACACACACACACACACAAACACACACAATAAAAATCTTTTCTAACAAATATTATAAACATGAATCGTTCTGATGAAACTTTAGTTACAGATAGACCAGTGTTGCTTTCAAAATAAAAGCCTAAAAGTAGGAAGTGAGCTGTTTGTACAAAAATGATCTTTTCATATCTCTTCATTTGCTTGTTCTTGTTGAATAAATGTTTTATTGGAACAGAATCCTGTAATTCTTAAAATAATAGTTTTCATGCAGATTTCAGGTTCTTCTAAATAAATCTGGGACGTGTTCATATTTATTTTAATGTTTTATATGTTGAACTTTTATCTGTTTTTATGTTTTGAGCATCAGATTCTGCTCTTCAGCTCTGTTCAGATTTCTCCAAACTGCTAATGTAAGTGAACTTTTTGGTGAATTGGACTTTTAAAGGAATAGTTCAACAGTTTGGGAGGCCAACTTCTTTTCCCCAGGGTGGCGAAGTCATGACAGTGTTCTCATGAGTCCTTGAAAACCTGGAAATTTGGTGACTAGTCTTCCAGTTATGGAAACACCTGGAAATAATTTATGTCCTAGATAACTTGAATTGTGTTTCAGCCCCTGAGATTGTCTACGTAAACCTAGGTTTGAGTAAAACTGTAGTCAAATCACCGGAGACAGAAGGCGCAGGGCGAGTTAATGCTGATGTTCTCATAAACTCTGACCACCTACCTGTAATGAACTGACATCATGTAACAAGTAAACTGGACCTACCGCTCAGTGTTACAACCCTTTGTGAACCTGCTGTCCTGTAAAACTCCTGGAATAAGGGTTCATTAATCATTACTTCATAGAAATGTTTATTTTTACTGGGATTTACACATCTATTCTGGTATGTATGGTAGGAAACAGGTTTTACCTTGTGTTTTTATGTTTTATTCACTAAAAAGTTATAACATTTGTGTAAAATGTTGTTAATAACTATTAAATATGCTATAAATGATCTTAGAAATTCCAGTAAATAGTGTGTGTCAGGGAAAAAGTCAATTAAATAGCCTACATTTCCTGAACTCTCTGTCCATTCGGGTTCAAGTATTTTAATATGAAATAACCATCAAAGCAATCAGTACTTATTATTATTATTATTTTATTTCAACATTTTAACAGCATATACAGGTTCTGTTCAAGGTTATTGTCTCCATGTAAATGTTTAGTATATTCAGTGTGAGTGCACTCTGACGAGTCTCCAGGAAACCTGAATTTGTAAAAGCACCAAATAAAAAATTTCAGACAATAAAAGTTTCCATTCGACGTCCTGATGAATAAAAACAGAAGAAACGTTCTTCTTCATCCCAGCAGCTCCATGCGTAGCTCCATGAGAGCAGACAGGTACTCGTCTTTTTCAACGCAGTTCAGAGCTTTCTCGTAAAACTCCGCCGCTGTCTTCTTGTCGCCTTCAGCTTTGGCCACCAGAGCCAACAGGCCGTACGCCTCATCATCGTTCTCGTTTAATGACCGACGCCTCTCTGCGATCTGCTTCAGCTTCTGAAGTCATAGAGTAAGAACATCTGAAGGTTACATTAGGCGACACATCTGCATCTGCCTGGTGGTGTCTAACATCTGTTCAACATGTCTTTGAGCAAGATACTGAACCCCAAACTGCTCCTGATGCTGAACCACTGTATGAATGAGTGTGAATGTGGCTGTAGTGTTAACCAGAAAGCAACTATGTAAGTACAGTCCATTTAGCAAACTGTAATGACCTGTTTCTTTACAGCCTATAATTGTCTGAAGTAGTATGTGTTGTGGTCCAGCCGAGGGCGCTCTTAATGTTCACTATCAGCTTGACCTATTGACTGATAAGTAAACTCAGCTAATCAATTAAACTGGAGGAGGACACTCTAAGCCGAGCTGATCAGATAATCAGGACATCAAAGCATCTGTTGTACAAAATCCACTGAGTTCAGGCTGCGTCCAGAAGCGTAAGAATGCGCAAGCAAGTGAAATGAGGATCTGGTCCATTTTCAAAATAAATACTCCGTGCAGACAGATAGAATCAACATTTTGACATTAGTCAGAGGAGATTTGACACCAGACGCTCGGGCAGGAAGACGCTATAAAGACATTTCACTTCTGAAACGTTCTTGATGGGATTTGAAGAGACTGTATAGGTAGCCAAACCAAAAAAGGAAGTTCATTTATCAAATGTTAGTGATTAAAAATAAGAAGTTGGCAAATTGAAGCTCTCAGAGATCATTTTAATAGCGTCAGCGGTGAAGTTACAGGAGCAGTGTTGCCTGAGGGTCGGACTGCTGCTGAAATCAACAAGAAGTGGTTTGAGATGAAGCATGGCGATGGATGAGTGCAGTGGGAAGGCGTTGAGGAGAATTACGTTGTGTTTGGAAAACAGTAGACTAATTGCACACGACTCCTACGAGTGGTCTGGACAAATCTAAATTGTGTTTGGGCCTAAGAGAAAAATCTGATCAAGAGAAAATGCCAAAAACGTCCTCTTAAACCGGTCGTACAAGTCACTTAAAAACGAATGTCAGTATGAGTGGTTCTCGCATGAAGCCCTGCATGACTGACCTTTCTCCTGTTGTTGAAAATATCTAATTCTATAATAAAAACATGCGTGGACATAAAGACTCTGGACTTTGGTTCCTATCACAGTCTCATCCTGACTGGCTGAACAATATTTCTTGACCTTACTATTCAGCTCTTCAGTGGACAATGGGACTGCCTAAAGATTCTGTCACTCACCTTAGCGCACTGTTTCCACTCCCATTTCTTGGGTGTCAGTTTTAGACCCTGTTGAGTGAATAAAACGCATATCAGAACAGTAGACAGGTTCTTCCAGTATTCCAACTCTTATCAAAGCAACACACATACAGACATGAACCCACCTCGGTGTAGTGAGCGATGGCTTCAGCCTCCTGTTTGGTGTGATAGTGGTGAAACTCAGCGTAACGCAGATGGAAAACCTGGCATATGTCTTTTTCCGTCTCTAATAACTTCTGCGAGCCCTGTTTGAACAACTCCTCTGCCCTGAGAGAGAAAGACAGGAAGACAAATCCATACAAACTAAAAGATGAGTGGAAAGTGGGTGGATGAAAAAATAGTTGCAGGTCTAAGTCTAACGGAGTGTCCACACTAAATGTGAGTAATACAGTAAATATTCCTCTAATCTGTCTCACTGCGACAATATGAGCCAAAAACAATCAGATGTTTCTGTGATTTAATGTCAGTGAATGGATCAAAATGAAGCTGAAATAACGACATCATGATGGTGATTTGTAAAAAGTCTGAATTTATACGTTGTCACCCAGCACAAATTCATGCACTGACTTTGTCTCTCCGCACAAAAGAATTAGCTTTACTTTCTATTTGAACACATTATAAGAACAAAAAAACAAATACTTGCTCAGATTCTTTTCCTCTCCGTAGAGCAGTGCCAGATCAGCAATTGCGAGGACAAAACCAGACTTTATCTTGACAGCTTCGTCTAGGTGCTTCATGCACATATACCTCCACTGCTTTGCCTCTAGTATATTGCAGTAGAGCATGGTTTAGTTAGAGTTGTACATATAATGGGATATCAAAGTGCCTCTAGACCAATATGTGAGTACCTTTATTTTGTTTGTTGAAAGGCTTCTTGGTCTGTTCATCTGTCTTCTTTTTCTTGTAGCACATAGCCAGCTGGTGGTGGATGAAGGCTGACTTTTTGGACCTCTCCAGAGCTCGCTTCAGCAGATCAATAGACTGCTCGTTTTCACCCTGGAACATGGACACATACATTCATATCAGGAAAAAACACACATCCATCACATCAATCAAACAGAGTTACAGTCGCCTTGCCAAGTGAAGGGCAACCAGTATGGGTGTGAATCTGTTCCCTCTAAGAGGATCTGATACGTGTCCAGATACCTGGACTACAATACCATTCAGGGACATTTTAAGTGACATTGCTTATGTAGCAGCATACAGGTGCTACCTGTCATTCAGTGCTGCTGTTGTGTATTTAGCGCCACAGGTGGCCGTTATGAGGTGGGCCAGTATAAAAGCCACCACCCTCCACTGGCTCTTCCTTTTGCGCCTCTGTCGTCACTGGTGCGTCACTTCCGGGGTCATAGGTTGTTGACCCGACAGGTATGGCTGCCCGCTGTTTCACCACACTGGTCGCTCGGTCCTTTCTGTGTGCTCACGGCATTTGTGTTTGTTTGTAGGGCAGCTGCTTCGTGTGTCCCGTACATGCGGCGTAGTTTGTGCGTGGTAAGTGTCCTCCCTTTCTTGCCATTTTAGCTGATGCTGTCTGAGGGCTAACGTTAGTGTGGTCACAGGTAAATGCCAGCAGTGGTCGGTCCTATCTCTCCCTCCCTCCTCCGGTGCGAATGGGTGTGTGTCCTTAAACAGGTATGTGTGTCAGTATAGTAACCAACCGCAGTATTTACTGTTAAATGTAGTAACGTTCATGGTATGTTTTCTATCATTAGGTGTAACGTGCGATCAGCGATTTGGGGTCCCTGCTGCTTTTGTCAACGCTCCTGCTTTGTCCAACGGTCCTGCTTTGTCAACGCTCCTGTTCTCTTTGTCCTGCTTGTCCTATTTTATACGCTGCTGCTTTGCTTTGCCAGTCTCGACGCTGCCTGTCTGAGACGGTCTCCACGCTGCTTGGCTGCGTGGCTGCTCTTGCTTCGCTCTGTTTGGCTTCACACTGGCGGTCGCCGGCCTGGGCGTCTGCGGCCCACGCGTGCCCCAGAGCAGCTCTGTCAAACTCACGCCTGTGTGTTTTAACTGGGCCTGGCCTCCATGTGTGCGTGTGTGGATGAGTGTTAGGTTATTTGAGTAATCTTGTTATTTTGGATTGATTACTTATTTGAATTTGTTTTCTTTAGTTTATTTTCATTACTTAAAGTGGGCAGTTATTGATATTGGTTAAGATTATTTGCCCTTTTGTCTTGTGATTGGCCCATTAATTTGTTTTTCCTTTTTTAGTTGCTGGAGACTGGTGGTGGCGGTGCTGGTGCCCGGGTGGTGGTTACCCTTTCTGTCTGCTGTGTCCGGGAAGGCGGGTCTCCCTTCACTGAGTGTGTGTCACGTATGTCGGTGTTTTTGATTGATTTCTTATTTTGGTGAATTCCCCCCTGCACTAAGCCCCTGTCCTGATTCCTGTTTTGATTTTCTTTTGTATGAATGAAATTTAAGATATTTTTAAGCAATTATGTAACAATAAAATTGTATATTTTTCTATAAATACCTGAACCACGTCTCATGCCTTACTGAGTAAACTTACCTGTGTGCCTTCCAAATTAACTCTCTGGGTGAAATTATTAGGTTTACTTTCACCTTATCCTCGCCACCACAGTTGCATTTATTGTCCTGGTCTGAATAACATTGTACAGATGTTCTTTTATTGTATCTATTTCTTGTTCATGTATAAACTCTAGCAGAGCTATGCCTGATCATTCAAATCAGTGTCGTCAGATGGTAAATGAAGGAGGTACATCATTTTAAATCATCCAATGTTTGTGCAGCATTGCAATGAAAGGAGAGATACT